TGTATGTATGTATGCATGCACGTACGTACGTACGTACGTATGTATGTGTATGTGTATGTGTATGTGTATGTGTATGTGTATGTATATGTATATGTATATGTATATGTATGTTTATGTACGCATATGTATATGTATATGTATATGTATATGTATATGTATATGTATATGTATATGTATGTATGAATGATGCATATATGTATGATGTATGTATGTATACATGAGCTACTGTCACTATGGACTTTGAACCGGCGACATAGGGTCCCTCTTGTAGTTTAGTGTGGTCCTTAATAAGCCCCGAATAGGTAACCCATGTCCATTATGTAGGAAATAATGGCATTAGCTCATATGAGCTATAGTCTAAACGCCTAGTACGCCCCTTAATAACCCCCAGAATATTCCCCTATATAACCTACTATATATCCACCCTTAAGGAGTTTAGACTATAGCTCATATATGTTTTGGGTGCCATTCCTTTGTGTAGGTTTATGGTTGTCCGAGTATATGTAGACGTATAGGTCGATACACTTACACATACATATAGATATGGATAGACGTAGGTCTATTTGCGTACACGCACATTTTATATGTAAGAAGTCTTTCAAGATGCCCTGCTCGCGTTTATTGTATTTCTTCTTTTGCGGTATTGTGTGTAGTATACATATTTACATATATACAGAATTATATACATGTCTTTATCCTACAGAGGGGTATATATATATATATGTATTTCTACGCTACATTGCAATATCACGGTCAAGGTCCAAAAAGGTGGAACTTGGAAGCAGCATGAGGTCTGCTGCTTGTCCCTCTTTCTCAGCCTTCAGGAGGAGGATGCTCTAAACTGTATAACCTAAACCCTGAACCCTGAACCCAAACCCAAACCCTGAAACGACCTGATGTTCCAACTTTCTGGCTCTACAAAACAGGGGCCTTACCTGACCTCACCCCAAAAGGTTTCAGAAGGTTTAGGGTTCAGGGTTTAGGGATTAGGGCTGGTTCAACCGGAAATCCACATGACCTTGTTTCAAGTTTCAGAGTTCTCCTTCAAGCAGCCCCCACCCAAAACTCCAAACCCTAAATCCTAAATTCAAACCCGAACCCCCCCAAGGAAACATCGACTGTCATATAAGCAAGAACGGCAATAACAGCAATTTTATATCAACGGTGCTAGATTCAATAGTTGAATTAAGAGTAATCATACTAATAATGATGATAACGGTAAAGCAGCAGTAGTAGTAGCAGTGGTAGTAGTATTAGTATTAGTATTAGTATTCGTATTAGTATTAGTATTAGCATTAGTAATAGTATTAGTAGTAGTATTAGTATTAGCAGTAGTAGTCGTCGTCGTCGTCGTAGTCGTAGTCGTAGTCGTAGTACTAGTAGTAGTAGTAGTAGTAGTAGTAGTAGTCGTCGTAGTCGTAGTCGTAGTAGTAGTAGTAGTAGTAGCAGCAGTAGCAGCAGTAGTAGCAGTAGTAGTAGCAGTAGTTGTAGTAGTAGT